TGAAGTTTATCCTCCCTACTCTGTACCAATTCTTGGAGTGATTGCTCTCATGGGAAATTATCCCGGGGAAAGGGGTTGGTCTTATCAAAAGAAGCTTAATTTTACAATCATCGTCCGTCCCAGAACGTCGGTATCGGTGCGTGCGAGACACCGTTTCGTATTTAAATTCAAGCGTTCAGGGCCAGTTCAACCGATCGGGAACGATTTTACTGTTCTGGGTGAACATGTTTCTCGAAAGCACATAATGGCTCGGCACAGCACCAGCGATGCCGTCGTAATTCAACCACCGTCACGAAGGCAATTGGTTTTTGTAGGAATTGGATTGCTGGGAGCGCATGTAGCTGCATGGGGAAGACGCGAAGTGTGTTATTATGTTGATATTCGACATTTATCACATTTTAACACTAAAATTTTGATATACACTGGGAGATGCCGGGCAGCGGCTCTGTCGATTCCGTTAATGTAACGATGGGGGAAGAAGAGCTCTACTGGTGCTTAGCTTTTCTTCCTTCGTCGCATTCCTTTGGGGGGAGTCAGGACGCTTCGTTGCAGTTGCAGTAAAAAAGTGGACTCAATGGAGTAAATTTATTCGGCAAACGCAATAAAATGTAACTGGAGACAATATAGCGCGCAATCTCTCCTTTAGCAGCATTGAGGAAGAAGTTGCTGAGGAAAACATCGATCATGGTTCCGGCGCCTGCCCCTCCTGGTTCAAGTGGTTTCAGAATTTTGGGCTTTTATGAGCACGTAGTTGCATATTTTTACCTTGAACTCAAGTACACTACGGGAAAGAAGGGGATTTTGATCTACTCGCTTGGAGGTGTTTGCGTAAAATCGAGTTTTGCAGCTAGTGCACATTCACATTTATGGGAGGCCAGCTGTGGTTAGCCAGAAGGTGTGTGGGCGTTTTAATCTATTAAACTACATTAAACAGACATGAAATAAGTATCAATAAGCAGCACTATCCCTAAAAAATGCAGTGGACAGGGGAGGGGAAAACAGGGGCAGGCGATGTCTGATTTATTCAGCCTGGTCACTCTACTGTTGTGGCACTACCGCCTGTCATGGAAGAGCTGCTTGCTTTCGGACAGTGAAAAAGCGCTGGGCTAACAGGTGGCAGATGACCAACTTCTACGCTATTTCCCATTTCCGCTTTGCATCCAGTTTCTATGCTGCTACTTATTTGGCATAAATTGTTTGATTTATATAAGCAACCAGTTTGTGTGCATTAGCGGTCATTTTGTCGGCAATCCGGATCGTGCTGCTTGGTTCGGTGCCAGCTTTGGTGAGCTTCTGCCAGTCCATCTCCATCTCATATGTGGAATTCTTTGCTGGTTCGGACACCTTGAACGTCAGGATTTCCGGTCTCTCCGTGTTGCTTATTTCTAGCTGCACATCGCTGCATCTGCAAGTACACAACCGCTTATTGCTATTTCTCGATTTACACTTGTGATGCACAGAACATGCCACCTGCTGTGCGGGGGCCCGGGTTATACTGTTT